GGTGGCCTGGCTGCCCCTGGGGAGCACCATGGCTTTCAGGAGCCAAACCCCATGGCTCACTTTGCCCAACACCGTGACTGTCCCTACCTGGGCCAGGCTAAATCCCACCCCACCCCCAGGGAATGGGCTCTGTGGGGATTTCCCAGTAGGGCACAGCCCTGGGGTCCCCCCTGAGCATGGATGCAGGCCCCCAGCTCACTGGGCTGGCTCAGGGAGCCCGAGGGGGACTCGCAGCCAACACAGATGCTCAGGAGGCACCTGCAGTCAAGCACAGCCCTCACCCGGGGCTGTGGACCACATGAAGGGGGAAGCACCTCTCAACACTGGAGCAGATGCTCCTATGACACTGTTCTGCCCCGAGCCTGGCCCAGGCAGCTCCCTCGTCCCACTAAGTAGCCAGCCACAGCCCCACAAGCCCAGCCCAGGGACATACAGCCACTGGATGTTGTTCTTGGACTTCTTGGTGATGAGCTGGATGCCCTCCAGGACATTGGTGATGTCATAGATGCGCCTCTTCTGCACCTTCAGGACCTCGGCTGCCCAGTTAAGGTCCACCACGCCATCGGGCGACTGGCTCAGCAGCTCCAGGAAGCGCTTGGTGGTGAGGTTCAGTGAGGTTTCATAGCGGGACTTCTCCCCGGGAGACTTTGCCCCTGCCAGCCGCCGAGGGCAAGTGTGATTTAGCCACAAGGGAAATGCAGCACTGGAGCTGAGAGCTCCCAAAATACCCCCCCACGCTTGCATGTGGCTCATGAACCAGGGACCAGGACTGGCACCCCAAAACCCATCTGCTTTCTCAGGGCAGTGCGGGGAGCTCCCCACATCCTTCACGGGAAGGATGCTGCAGGACCTGGGGTGGGCTCTGACACCCATGCTCAGTCATGGTCGCAAGCTTGGTTGTGACACCAGGGTGCCAGGCAGAGCTTGGGGGAGATGATGGAGGGTCCAGGTGAGTCCACCTGGGACTCTGCACCGACGCCGTACCGGTGGCTACAGCTCCACCCCACAGGGAGGGACAGAGCTGGTGTGGTGTCCAGCAGACGGGCATGACAACTGTGCCACCAGCCCAGGGGACAGCAGCATGGGCTGGAGAGAGCGGCCAGAAACAGCCCGGCCCCAGGAACAGCCTCTCCAAACCGACGCAAAGGGCTGGGGAGAAGCTGGCAGGGA